TGTAGGTACTAGCCACCTCACGCGCTATTTATCTTCGCCGAGCGTTTTCGATAGCGATCTTCCGATTCTCGAAGGTTAAATAATTCCATAATTACGCATTTTGAGAAATTCCCTTTGAAAGAACATCTCGATCGTGCTTACCGAAATTATATCGGTTTGAGTGTTAAAAGATCTAATCGCAAAAGGTGGATAAGAAATGCGTAATAAGCCGTACCAAGTTACGGTGACCTTTCGCGATAGCCGCGAGGCGGGATAAGAGATCGGGAAAAGATTGGCAGTCGATTGAAATTAATACGCGCTCGCGCGCGATAGAGAAGTGCGTAAGAGACTACGTTTGAACTCCGAGGGAAAGGCCCACTTTTCTCGGCGCGGTGCTACATACATATATACATATCACCTTCCCGATACCATCCTCCCGCTCCTAACTCTCTCCTCCTCTTCCCCGTTCCGCTTCTCCTCCATCGGGCGGTTCTCGAACAATAGCAGCACCTCAGCACTGCACGGTGGATGAACTTCTGAGACTGGAATCGGCTCTGCCCACTCTGTAAATTGCGTTTTCGTAAAAGTATTCGTAGGGAAAAGAGGTCGGTCGATCTTAAACGGCAACCTACATCCTGCTACACGGCTAAGTGCAGCGTGAATATATATAGGTCTCGATCGCTGATTCCCCGTTAAGCGGAAAGTCGCATCGTCGAATAATATAAGATAAAGCGCGATGAATGACGAAAAAAATTTTTATATAGTACATCTATCGCCAAATATTCTATAAATAAAAAAAAAAACTTTTCTTTTCGATACGTTATACGGAATTTACGCGCGAGTAGCTTTACATGTTTGTCAATCGCACCTGCCAATACATGTAATCGTGATTCAACGGAGCGAAAATCATAAATGCACTGGTCGTAATAAATATTGTATATGTATCATAAACATCGGTCTCTAGAGTAATATAATACGTTAACAAGCCGATACGGATTTACGATGCGTTTAATAATCCGTAACATGTCGCTGATATATTTTTCCTTCTCGTTTGTTCCCCCCTTTTCGCAACATGCTCCAGTTTTGCGAATTAAATTATTATCGTCAAATTATTTACAATGTCTCGTTTTTCGTCTAGGATTAGGATGAATTTTGTGCCCGAATTTTTTTTTAATTAGTTTGATAACGAGACTGCTCTCTCCGTGTCTTCGATTAGACTTGGTTTTTATCCAACTTTTTCTTTCTCTCTCCTATGCTCTATCGGAATTCGACGTACGGAGAAACTTGTTCGCCAGCGTTGCTCGATTAATCCGAGACAAGATCGGCCTCTCGTACGATCACGAAACTCATTTGTTCCTTTATACCATCCGCTCGCGAGCGCGCGGGTCCACCATGCATTAGTAAACTTGTTTCGATCTAGCGTATGTAACCCTTTCGCCTATGGCAGAGTCCGGTCGAAAAGCGACCGTGCAGTGCCGAACGTCTCGTACATAGCAGCATCCAACCGCGCAAACAAGATTGCGGACAGTTCTTATCATCCAATTTTGATAGTAAAATAATTTTGCTTGTAAAATTCAATTTGCAATGAGATATTCTTTATTAAAACTATCACATTTTTATATACTATATATAATAAAATCAACTTTAAGAATA